GATGCCCACAGGAGAGCAGAGCAGTGAGGGGGCTGCGAGGTGGGCCGCTGCTTCGCCTGACTCCACCCACCTCCAAAGCCCTGGGGGCTTGGTGCAGCCAGACGACACCAGGGCCCATGGCCCACCGGAGGGGACAGGTATGTGCAATCATCGGGCCTGAACTCCCAGGCTGCTCAAGCACATTCTCCTTTCCTCCCCCCTCGGTGTCACCCCTACATGACCTCATCGAGTCGCTGTGCTAAACCTAAAATTCACCAGAAAGAGAAAAATAGGTCAGAAAGAGCCAACCGCATCCTGGACAGCACCGGGCAGGGAGGGAAGGGAACTTACATCACGGGTGGCAGTAACATTGTGTAACGTGTGCACACCCGCTTCCGCAGCACCCATCCCACTGCCCTTCCAGTGGCTCTGGATGGTGGGCAAGGCCAGCCTCAAGCTCCCCCCTGGGCGAAGGCATGCAGCTCAAGGCCGGTGCCGTGTCTATGCAGAGCCTGGTCCAGAATCCCAGCTCGGTGCAAGTGGTGTGGGCTTGGCGCAAGCAGCCCGTCACCGCCCTGGGCCTCAGTTTTCCCATCTGTGGCGTGGAAGAGGCGTGACCTCCTCTGGCTGATGCCTGACACCTGGTCCAGCTGGGCCAGGCCTCTCTCATCGCGGACCAGGCTGTGCTGCTTCTAACAGAGAATTTGAACTTGGAGGACTTGTTGCCTCGGATATCTGTAGGTGGAGAGTGGTTTCTTCTGAAGTCAACCTCCTAACGCTCTGTCCCCAGGAAGAGAGATGCTGGGGCAGGTGCTGTTCCCACAGCCAGAGCCCCGGGAAGGCAGGACGCCCTGCCGTGTGCGTGCTGTCCGGGCCTGGTTTCGCAGGGAGCTCCCAGGTGTACCGGTACTCTGTTACCTGGGGCATATGGACAGAGCTGTACCCCGCATTGGTGCTCTGGGGGCACTGTCCTACGATGCCTGGAGTCCCGGGGAAAGCAGGAGTTCTGCGGTTAGAAGGTTCCGGGCTCCTGCTGCCTCCTTCCCTAAGTTCTGGGAGAATCCTGACTGCTGCCTGGAGCCCTGTTCTCTCCCCCCAGAGCCTTTTCCTCCACCCCCAACGCTGGCTGCATGGGGGTAGCCATGTGCCTGAGCGAGAAGTCATGTGCCCCACCAAGAGGAAAGCCACCAAGAACCACTGAAGCCCAGGCCTGTCCCCTCCCCCACCCCCAGCTGACCCCGGGGCCTCCTTCCGCCGTCCTCACCTCCCCTGCGCATCCATATCCTTTGGATCAGCTGATGGCCCATGAGGTTGATGATCTGATAAGTTTTACCTTTGACCCTCTCACCGACTGACTGACCGACCGACGTGTGAAATACTCAGATCCGTGGTCGGCAAACTGTGGCTCGCGAGCCACATGTGGCTCTTTGGCCCCTTGAGTGTGGCTCTTCCACAAAATACCACATGGGGGCGCGCATACAGCGTGATTGAAACTTCGTGACCCATGCGCAGAAGTCGGTTTTCGGCCTGGGCGAGTCTATTTTGAAGAAGTACTGTTGATATTTGGCTCTGTTGACTAATGAGTCTGCCAACCACTGGCTCAGACTGTCCGCTTCTGGGGAAGTGAAGAGGCGTTTGGCCAGCTGATATCCCGCAGGTGACCTTGATCTTGAATTCCTTCAAGGAGTGCTGGGTGGTCAGGCACCCTTGTCAATCAAAGCTCCCTGCTCCTCTTCCGTAACCACCATCCCTTCGCTTCTCCCGCCTCCTACTCCATCCGCCGCGCTCAGTGCCTAGAGGAAGCCAGGGTCCCGGTCTGGCTGTGAAGCAGTTAGTGTCTGGCTGTGACGGGGAAACTCGGCTTCACATGGCAGTGAGGGCATTGCAGCGACCTCCCCACTCCGCACCCGCCAGCCTGTGCTGCTGGGTTTACTAGCAGAGGGTGGCCAGTTGTGCTCCCTGCAGGTCTGCCCTTGACCTGGGTGACCGGGTGGTGTCAGAAGCGTGTTGTGGGTCCATTCGCCACCAGTGGCCCAGGTTTGTAGCAGAGGGGACGGGATAAGCCAGAGAGTTGGCAACAAAGAACTTGCGGGCGGTGAGAATCCAAACGGGGAAACCTCAGGGGGAACAAAGCAGCCTGAAGGCGGGTGGGGGTGGCTAGGGCCTTTATAAAGAACTTGCTTCTAGCCCGGCTGGTGTTGCTCAGTGGTTGAGCGTTGACCTGTGACTCAGGTCACGGGTTCGATTCCCCGTCAGGGCACATGCCCAGGTTGTGGGCTCCATCTCCAGTGTGGGACTTGCAGGAAGCAGCCAATCCATGATTCTCTCATGGATGTTTCTCTCTCTCTCTCCCTCTCCTTTCCTCTCTGAAATCAATAAAAAAATATATTTTTTAAAAAGAGCTTGCTTCTAATAGTATTAATTTCTTCAAGAATTTTCCCTTGAGGTTTTCCTCTAGTAATAGGTCGATAGGTGTTGATAAACATTTTAAAGCACTTTCCAGAAAATAAGCGTTTGCTCTGAGCCTGGGAGGGAGAAAGCACGGAAGGGCCACCGGCCACTGTTGGTCGAGGACGAGGACACGCCTGCAATGGCCTCCAAGGAGGCGGTGGACAGAGGGGAGTTTATGTGGGACCCGCCCTGTCTGAGCCCAGATCTGTTCCCCCAGCCCCGGTGGCTGGCTGTGCTTTCCCCTGGCAGCGGAAGTCCGGGCCGGGAATCCAGACATCGGGAAGAGGAGTTGGGTATGAAATAAGGGAACTCAAGATTGGGGAGAAATTGAGGTTTTGGGGGGGGTTATTTTTTCTCAGCACAATGTCATCCAAGGGGTGGATGGGGAGGGGCACTGCAAAGCTGAGGAGGAGTTTGGGGGTCCTTTCCCGTTTCAGGCCGTCCCTTGACCAGCTGCACTGACCTGGAGAAAACAATTGCTTCCGCATTGCCCCAGCAGCTGGAGCGGATATGACCAGCTGGGGGCCAGGGTGTGTGATTCCAGACATGGCCACAGCGGGGAGACACAGGGTTGTCCAATCCCTACGTCTTGCTCCAAGGCTGAGCCCAAACAGTAGACTTGCTGGGGTGTAGGGCTTAAAAAATGAGCAGACCTAGGCCTGAGGTCATTTCTAAACCCTGGCCAAGTCAGCCCCGGGTCATCTCACTAAAGGCCTTGGGCGAGTTTAGAAGTAACTGCCACCTCCTTGGACCAGCTGTGAACAGACTGATGATTAGCCGACATCACGTCACCTGCAAGTATTTGTCACGCTGGCCCTCGGTGCCCGGCATAGTACTGGGCTGTGAAGAGGAATCCGGATGGTTACACGAAGGCAACACACACAACCCAGGGAGGACGCCATCCAACACCAGCACTCACACCGCGAGCCGACCCTGGGCGTCGCAGCTCTCCCACAGGGACCACGCAAGCAACCCACTCACAGATGCTTCTGGAAAAAGCGTTTTAGATAGATTAGAGATAGAGATAGAGATAGAGACAGAGATAGAGATAGAGATGATATAGATATAGATGATATAGATATAGATATATATAGCTAGAGATAGACATAGTGATAGAGATAGAGATATAAATATAGATGATATAGATATAGATATATAGCTATGGATAGATATAGATAGAGATAGAGATAGAGATAGAAATAGATATCCTATCTAATAAAAGAGAAGCATGGTAATTAGCCGTACGTCCGCTACCCTTCCCATTGGCTAATCAGGGCGATATGCAAATTAACTTCCAGCCAAGATGGTAGCCGGCAGCCAGGCAGCTTGAAGTTAACATGAGGCTTGCTTGCTTCAGTGACGGAGGACTCCAAGGTTCCCCGCCTGCCACTGCCGGCCTCTGAGCTTGCAGTTTGAAACATTGTTACAAATATAGAAGCTAAACAAAACCCCAGAAACCTGCTTTCAGCCAGCCAGGATCTCAGAGCTGGAGTTGATACAGTGTTTTGATTATAGAACCCAAACAAACCAGATACCTGCTTTCAGCAGCAGAGGCCTCAGAGCTGGAGCCAGAGCTAAAGCTGGCCCAGAATAAAGAAAAAAAGGAGCAGTTGGGAGCTTCAGTCACCCGCCAGCCTGAAAACAGCCATCAGCCCCTCACCCAGGCTGGCCAGGCATCCCAGTGGGGACCCCCACCCTGATCCAGGACACCCTTCAGGGCAAACCAGCCAGCCCCCACCCGTGCACCAGGCCTCTATCCTATATAGTAAAAGGGTAATATGCCTCCCAGCACTGGGATCAGCGGAGCCGCGAGGCCTCCCGGCACCGGGATCAGCGTGACAGGGGGCAGCGCCCAAACCCCCTGATCGCCCTGCGGCTCTGTGTGTGACAGGGGGCGGGGCCACAACCTCCCTATCTGCCCTGCTCTGTTTGGGACAGGGGAAGGCGCCCCAACCCCCTGATCAGCCCTGCTCTGTGTGTGACAGGGTGCGGCGCCCCAACCCCCCTACCCCACGGGCCCTGCTCTGTGTGTGACAGGGTAGAGCCATAACCTCCCCATCGGCCCTGCCCTGAGTGTGACTGAGGGTGGCATCGCAACTTCCTGATCCGCCCTGCTCTGTCCATGACAGGGGGCGGCGCCCCAACTCCCCAATCGGCCCTGCTCTGAGCCCGACCAGGGGCTGCACCTAGGGATTGGGCCTGCCCTCTGCCACCCGGGAGCAGGCCTAAGCCAGCAGGTCGTTATCTCCCGAGGGGTCCCAGACTACGAGAGGGCACAGGCCGGGCTGAGGGACCCCCCTCCCCCCGAGTGCACAAATTTTTGTGCACTGGGCCTCTAGTAGAGATATAAACATAGATATAGATACAGGTACAGATAGATATAGATATAGATATAGATATAGATATAGATATAGATATAGATATAGATATAGATATAGATATAGATATAGATATAGATATAGATATAGATATAGATAGAGATATAGATATAGATATAGATATATAGTATAGGTATGGGTATGGGTATAGATAGATATAGATATAGATACAGATACAGATACAGATATAGATAGAATAACAAAACAAATGTGGGAACATGTTTTTTAAAATTGGGTGAATCTGAATAATCCCCCCCACACACACTTTGTCATCAATTTTTTCTAACTCTAACCCTTTGGCTTCCCTCCCACAAAGCCCCTTGTGATTTCACGGGCCACCTGGGGAACCCGATACCCCCATTCTGTGTGTGTGTGTGTGTGTGTGTGTGTGTGTGTGTATTTCCCCTTTGCATCTCAGAACAGCAGTAAAGAGAGAGGAAGTAGTGGGATGACTCGCATGCACAGATCACGAAAATCTGAAGAAGACACCAGCAGATGTGTCCGGCCGCCCTCGGGAAAAGCCTTCCGAAGCTATGGGCCCACAGCCCAGAGAAAAGTGCTCAAAAGGCTCACGCTGATTGTGATGGCAGCAGCACCACGGCCGGTACCCCCAGGGGTCAGGGGCCGGGCCTCCCTTTGACTTACGGGACATGCTGACACACACTCCTTGCTTTTAACTCTTACCCAACATGGGTCACAACATTGTGAAGCGTCGAAACAAAAGCCCTGAGACTTTGCACAGCGGAGACGGCGCAGACAGGCTCTGAGGTCCGAACCCCCTGACGGGGAGCGAACGAGGGGTGGCTGCCCCTGTCCCGCCCAGTGCTGGCCTCTGGGATGTCCCCACCCCCGGGGCCCCTCCAGCCGCTCTGCTCCTCTGGGATCCAGGGCAGGAGCTTTCTTCAATGCAGAGCCCACGCCGGCAGGCATCGTTCCAATAACGCCTCTTCTCTCTCAAGATGTTGTCACCTTTATTGCTGTCTCTTGTATTAAACTCAACCTCTCAGGGTCCAGGGGAGCCGAGGACATGCCCGCTGCTGGGTCTGGGCCAGGGCAGCCTGTCCTCCAGCCTCCTCGCCTGGAGAAGAGGGGTCTGCTCTCAGCACGGAGGGGCTCCCCACTCTCTGCCGGTTCTCCCTCCCAGCCAGCCAGACACTGGCAGGGCCTTATGAAGCTACTGGGAGGGACAGTCTGTGCGCCTCCCTGTCCTGGATCCCGCGGGGCTGAGCGCCATCGCACAGCTGGAGTGAGGCAGAGAATAGAGGGAAGGTGTGACAGAGCCGCCCCATGGGAGGGTCCCCGCAGGTCCCAGCGCCAGAGGGACAGCCGGCGGGAGCCCAGCCGCTGTGTTGGAGGGGAGCAGGCTGAGGGTCACGTGGTGGAAGGGGGGGTCCTGGGCTCCCCACAGAGACCTCCAGGCGGGGAGGCGGGAGGCCAGCTACGTCTCCCTGATGGTGCTGTACTCTGGCTCCGGCCATGTCTCCCTGATGGCGCTGTACTCTGGTTCCGGCCGTGTCTCCCTGATGGCGCTGTACTCTGGCTCCGGCCGTGTCTCCCTGATGGCGCTGTACTCTGGCTCCTGCCGTGTCTCCCTGATGGCGCTGTACTCTGGCTCCGGCCGTGTCTCCCTGATGGCGCTGTACTCTGGCTCCTGCCGTGTCTTCCTGATCGCGCTGTACTCTGGCTCCTGCCGCGGGGGCCTCTGGGAGGGACTCTGGTCCTCAGGCTCCTGACGCTGGGTCGTGAATACCACCATGGAGTAGTGCAGGTCTTCCCTGGGGGCCTGCTGCGGAGAGAGGCCTGGGCTCAGGGGGAGGTGGGGAACCACCGATGGGGATCAGGACACCGAGGGGGCTCAGCCTTCCCCACTGTCCTGCCTTCTTTCCCCTAAAGGCCTGGGCTCCGAGATCCTGCCCCCCCTCCCCAACCTTCACACACACACACACCCACACACACACACACACACACCCGCTCAAGCCAAGCACGGAGCCCAGGCTCAGGGCCGGGGTCCCTGGGACCCACCCTGAGAGCATCAGTCACCGAGTTAGGAAAACAGGGTGTTGTAGTCCCGGGGCCACATGCCTGAGGCCTAAATCTCTCCCCATCTTCCCCACCGAGGGGTCCTCTGCCCGACTTCTTCCACTAAAGGGGGTCAGTTGGGGGGCCCTGGGGGACTTCCTCCTCCAGTTCACGTTACAGCGGCTCTGCCTAAGGACCGGCCTGCAGCGGGTCCTTGATAAGAACTGAGAGCGGAGCTGATGCCAAAGAGACGATGGGGCCAAACAGTGAGAGCTCACAGGCCTGGACACCGGGCCCACGGCACCCAGCAGGTGCTTAATAAACGCTGTGCGCGACCAGGGCCCTAGTCACTGGCCGTCCCCCAGCCCCTCCGTCTCCCAGCCCCTCCCCCATGCGGCCACAATGACGCCGAGCTCTGGCAAGGTCCACACCGGCCCTGGGCCCTGTTGTCTGTGTGGCTCAGTCTTCTGTTGTTGTTGTTGTTAATCCAAACCTGAGGATATTTTCCCATTGGCTTTTAGGGAAGGGAGAGAGGAAGAGGAGGGAGAGACAGAGAGAAACATCCATTGGTCGCCTTTTCCTCGAGCCCCGACCAGGGCCTGGGTTGGGGAGGAGCCTGCAACCAAGGTACATGCCCTTGACCGGAATCGAACCCGGGACCCGTCAGTCCGCAGGCCTATGCTCTATCCACTGAGCCACACCGGCCAGGGCTGGTGGCTCCATCTTAAAGTGACACGAGATCACTGGCCAGCCCTCACTTCCCTCTCTACCCACGGCCGCCCAGGTGGTGCCTCTGGCATAGCCCAGGTGCCCTGCCAGGAGGGGGGCCGTGTACTTACCACCGTGCTGTACTCCACCTCCTCCTGCCTCGGGCGCACGGGCTCTCCCTGAAGGAGCGTCTGCAGCTCCAGGTTGGCGTAGCAGGGCTCCCTCTGCGGGGCGGCCTGGGGTGGGCAGGAGGCGCGGGGCTGGGCGGCTGGCCGCGGGGCGCCCGGGGTCCATCCCAGAGAGGCCCTGTGCCTGCTTCTCCGCAGACATCTCCCCCCTCACGCTCGGGGTCCAGCTGCCTGCCTGGCCACCCGCCCCCACGCTGGTCCTCTCCGGGCCACGCTTGCTCCCCAGGTCCATGGCCAGGCCTCCCTCATCCCCTTTCCCTGGAGTGGGGGGCAGACTGGCCAGGGCACCCAGGCGTGGTTCTTCCTGCTCTGGGCGAGCACCCCACTCATTGCATCGATGGTCCCCCCAGACCTCCACTAGCCCACGGGACGGTCCAGCCCCCACCCCCTGTGCGCCCCGCCACCCGCCATCCCTCCCGGTGGCCTTTCTTTTTAGAGAGAATGGAAGAGAGAGGGCAAGACAGAGAGAAACATCGATGTGAGAGAGACACATCGATTGGTTGGCTCCTGCACCCCGACCAGGGCCCAGACCGGGGAGTGGCCCCTAACTAAGGTACATGGTCTTGACCAGAATCGAACCTGGGACCTTTTGGTCCTCAGGCCGACGCTCTATCCACTGAGCCAACCCAGCCAGGACTGGTGGCCTTTCTTACCTGACAGGGGTTCTGGAGTGGCTCCGGATTCCCACCAGCTACAGAGACAAGGGGGAGGGGGAGGTTTGTCCCAGAACAAGGCAGGTTTGTCCCACGATCCATCTGGAGAAAGGCCTTTGCCTGCAGACTTCAGCCCTGGGGACCCTTCGCCTCAGAGCCGCAGCGCGGCTGGACTCAGGATTTGTGGAGGGGAATGCGACTGAGGGGATGAGTGAATGAGGGAATGAACAAGCAGGTGTGAACACATTCGGGTTTCAGTGCTGCACGCAGGCTCCACGCCACCCTCCCCCTCAGAGGGGACAGGCCTTCTGATGGGGGAGAGGGGACAGAAAGGGCGGGGGCGGGGGGAGAGATGGGAGCACCGCCGCGGACGGAAGGCCGCACTGAAGGAGCTCAGAGGTAACCCGCTGGATGTGGGGCCCACTCTACCCTCATAATACAGTGACCCGGCACCCAGCACAGGATAGGGCCTGGCGCACAGTAGGTGCTCAGGACAGCTTTGCCGTGTGTGAGTGTGTGAGTGTGTGAGTGAGTCTGTGAATGAGTGAGTGAGTGAGAGTGTCAGAGAGTGTGTGAATGAGTGTGAGTGTGTGAGTCTGTGAATGAGTGTGTGAATGTGTGTGTGTGAATGTGTATACATGTGTGTGAGTGTGTGAATGTGTGCGCGTGTGTGTGTGAGTGTGTGAATGCACCAATGAATGAATGAGTGCAACAGGCTTAGAAGAGGAATAATGATATGACACAACATTTCCAGAAACATGTGCACAAAGAGGCATCGAGAAAAGACTGGAAGGAACACCCCAGACGTGGGTGGCTTCTCTTCTCTGGTGGAGGGAGTTTCAGTTTCTATTTCTGATGGGAACTTGTTTCCTCCTCTCTGCTGTTACTTACCTTTGGATTTTCTACAACAATACAGATCCCTTTTTTTAAAGAACTTTTCTAGGTGAAAGGGCATTGATGGGGATTGCTGACACCACAGATCAGAGACAGTCCAGGCTGGGAACCCCCCCTTGTCTCCCCCTCTTCCCACCCCCCCCACCCCCGTTCAGGGAAGAGGAAGTGGCTGACACCCATTCCGCTCCTGAAGGCCCGGCCGTGCTGCGGGAGAGGCTGGACCCATGGGCGGGTGGACGGGCTGGAGGTGAGAGGGTAAGGCAGTGTCCCCCCAACCTGCCCCTGGCATGTACCCGCTCCCAGTTAGCACTGCAGCCGTGGAGAGAGCATCCCCCTCCCCCGCCCCCCACACTTGACCTCAGGCAGAAGCCTGCATCCTACAGCTGACTGCTGGCCGGTCATCCGCTCTCATTTAACTCACTCCCAGGTGTTTATTGAGCACCTACTGACTGAGGCCAGACTGGGAGAGGCCTCCTGGGCCCACCTCCCACAGGCTGCAGGCACCACTCCAGGGTCACCTGCTCTCGGGTCGCCCGGGATGTGCAGTCGGAGGGCATACGTTCCATGCCCACCCTGGGCTGGGGGCACAGGGGGCAGGGAGCCAACTCACCTTTGACCCGCCTCTGCCTCCGCACCATTCTCCAGGCCAGCAGTGAGGCCCCCGCCAGGAGGAGCAGCAGAAGCGCCAACAAGATGAGCAGCACAGGGAGCCTGGAGGGAGGCAAGGGCGGGGCAGGGTGGGACGGGGATCTGGCCGCCCGCCTTTGTTTCAATACATGGATAGGGTCATATTAAAAACAAAACAAGCCCAGCAGGTGTGGCTCCGTGCTTGAGTGTCAACCTGTGAACCAGGAGGTTGCGGTTTAATTCCCGGTCAGGGCACATGCCTGGGTTTCGGGCTCAATCCCTGGGGGGGGGGGGGGGGGGTGCAGGAGGCAGCCAATGGATGGTTCTCTCTCATCATCTTGGAAATCAATAGAAATATATTTAAAACAAACAAAACAGCAGAACCCCTCCTTTCTCCACATCCCCTCATCTACCCAGTCCCCCGACCCCCACCCACTGTATACTTGAGAACCTTCCAGAGGCTCTTCATTCAGATACAAGAAAACACGAATGTGTGTTATTTTCCTCCCTTTTTCACACCCGGGAGGCACAGTATAAACACTAGTTTATACTTAACAAATACATCTTGGACCCTGAGAGGATGGAGGCAAAAAAACAACAACAACAAACAAACAGCAAAAGACAACCCATCATGGAGCTCTTCCCGTGTCAGTACATATGAAAGGCCTTCACCCTTTTTCACAGCTGCATAGTATTCCACTGCCCGGGTGGACGGACTATCGTTTATTTAACGTGTCCCTCCCGCTTCGTGGGCATTTCCCCAGCTTTTGCCATCACAAATATCGCTGCAAAAAATCACCTCGTAGCTCTACCACTGCACACACGGACAAGCAGGCTTACTGACATGAGTTAGGGTTCGGGACCCTTCTTTCATCCCCCGTTGGCATTCATAACAGTCTGGTCTTTTTCTTAAAGATGCACCTCCCTTCTCCCCAAATCGCCGAGGCTTCAAGCCCCACACAACCTAGCCCTGCCCCCGTGGGTGCATGTGCAGAGTCGGTTTCTGGAAGCGCTGTGTTTGGGACCGGAGTCCCACCTGCCTGGCGTTAGGATGGTCAGTGGGGGAGGGGGGCGGGTGGGCAGGAAGCTGTGGAAGGCCTGTCATCAGACTGACCTTTGCCCCTGGATCCTGGGCTGGGGGCGCCAAACCCTCAGGCTTTCTCTGGCTACCCACAATCCCCTTGCATCACCCCCGAGATCATGCTCAGAGATGAGGTGACTCAGGATGGGAGCTGGTCACCAGAAGGAGCACCCACGTGATTAGAGATTTGGGGTTCCGAGCCCGCCTGACCTTCAGGGAGGCTGGGAATGAGTTCAGTCGTGTGGTCAGTGATTCAGCCAATCGGTTTATGTGATGAAACCCAGTGAAAACCCGCAGCCAGAGCTTGGAGGAGCTTCCGGTCCTTAAACACATCGAGTTCCGGGAGGGGTGCAGCCCACGCCGCTGGGAGGCGGGAACCCTGCATTCGGAGCCTCCCAGCCCTCCCCCTCCGTGCCTCTTCATTCGGCTGGTCCCCACCTTTACCCTGATGGTCAAACTGTTGCCATAAGTATGGCGCTTTCTGGCCTTCTGCCAGCGGTCTACCCATGATCAAAGCCAACGGGTTATGGGAACCCCACATTTGTAGCCAGTGGGTCAGAGTGAGATGGCCTGGGGATCCGCCCAGTGCCTGACACCTGAGGCGGGCAGTCATATGGGACTGAGCCCCTGACCTGTGGGGTCTGTGCCAATGCCGGGTGTCAGGGCCGGGACTGAACCACAGGGCACCAGGTGGTGTGTGAGCCGGGAAGTGGTTTAGAACAGTTTGGATTTTCTGGAAAGTCTACGTATGTTGTCAGGTCCTCCTGGGGCGCGTGACCCCCAGAGAGGTCACGAATCACTAGTTTAGAAGGAAGAACCCCAGGTTTCAGAATCCCAGAAGCCTGTGCTAGAGGCCCAGCCTGTGCTAGAGGCCCAGCCTGCCTGTAGCCACAGGACCCGGCAGATCGCTTAACCTCTCCAGCCTCGGTTTGCCCATCTGTACAGTGGGAGTGGCGATGGCGAGGTCATGGTGAGGAGCAGCGGACAGCCCTCACGGGAGGCATCGGCCCGTGCGGGACGATAACATCAGCTCTCACTCAATGTTATTTCCTTCACCCACCCAGCGTCTCCCCACAGCTTCTCTCAGACCCCAAGGCAGGCCCAGCTGGGAGAGACCAACTGTGGCTCCCAGCCTGGGCCCGGCGCAAAGGGAGCAGGAGGTCCCCCTAGGAGGGGCGTGACCCCCCTCCCCCAACACACACACCCAGCGCCACACGCCCGGGAAGGAGGTGGCGCCCTGCGCTCCCCTGAGGAGAAGGCCCCCTCCCCCTCCCAGGACGAGGGCGCCTTACCCGTGGTCCTGGTCCGGGCTCGGCTGGGAGCCATCCTGGCTGTTCCTGCTCTGGGTGGCATTCACTGTCCGGGCTGTGGACACAGTTGGAATTTGGGCTGTGACGGTCGAGGTCGTGGCCGTAGTGGTGCTTGTACTTGTAGTTGTAGTTGTAGTTGGCTTGGAGGTTGCTGCTGGTGCAGAAACACCAATCAGGCCCAGGGCTCTCTCTCCTGACTCCACCACTGGCCTTGCCTTTTAGGCTTTTAAGCAGGACTTCTCACAGCATCTCCCCCCCCCCCCCCCCCGCCGAGGGCCCACACCTTCCAGGACTGTCCAGGGCAAGCGAGCATTCCTAACAGGACGCTGTACCTCCCACAACACCCCGGTTACATCCTGCCCAGGAGGCCACAGTCCTCCAGAGGGGCCCTAAGTCACCCCACACCCCGTCTCACCCCCTCGGCCACCGCCCTGTGCTGCCCCCCCCCCACCACCCCCTACCCCCTAGAGCTGTCTGCTTCACTGGGAGTCTGCCACATCACTTTTTGGAGCTCCCGCTCGCTCACACCTTCAGCCCCCAACCTTCCCAGCATCTCCCCTCCCCTCTCCTCTCCTCTGCACACCCTGCTCTCTCAGCCTCCCCTTCACCTGACAAGCGCTTCCCCATCCCTCAGGACTGAAGAACTGAGCATGGGCGGTGGCTCCTGCAGGAAGCCTCCCAGTCTCTCTCTCTCTCTCTTCACACACACACACTAACACCCATAAATACACACACATCCATACACACACACCATACACACACACACACACACTCACACTTACTCATTGTTTGTTCCAAGTCTCTGATCTGTTCCTGCCTCAGCTATTCCGACCTGAGACTCTTCAGGAAGGACAAGGGGAGGGTGTGTGTGGCTCACCTGGGGATACAGACACTTCAACTGGGAAGGTGAGGTCTATAATTTTTTCTGTCCATGGTCTATCGATCCCACACCAGTATGTGCCTTCATCGCTCTCTCTGAGGCTCTCCAAGGTCACTGTGAAGGTGCGGTTTGCTGGATGGTCCCTGATGGACACACGGCCGCTCCTCACTTCTCTCTCTGACTTTGTGGTCTCCACAATCTTCACCCTCAGTGGTGGCAAATATGAGTATTTGCACCAGTATTTGTTATGGTCTGTGTACTTCTTCTCGTACCGACACTGCACGCTCAGCGATCCCCCCACGGTGCCCGTCACGGGGCTGGAGCAGCTCAGAGACAAACAGCCTGGAAGACACAGCCCAGTCCCAGTCACCTGATGGGCCAGGGGCAGGGCGCCCTGGGGTCACCCCGTAGGTCTCCCGCTCCCATCAGCCAGATCACATCTGAGGGTCCTCCCCTATCACCCCAATATTTTGATGACAGCAGCCCCTTCCTCCAGACCCCACCCTCCTTTCTTGCTGCCCTGCCACCCTCACTACCAGGGGCCTCCCCTTCCAAACATCAGGACCATGAGAACCCGCCCCCGCGAGCCCCTCAAGTAATTTTTCAGCATGCGCCCCCCACCCCACCCCATCGCAGCTCTGTCCACAGTGCCCGGACCTCAAGCTCCTGTTAGTCCCCCTCCTCCCCCTCCAGCCTGGGTGAGCCTTCCCAAGCCCTGTCATGGGGCGGGGGGGGGGGGGGGGGGGCCGCTACTGAGATGCTCACTAATGATTGCGCCGGCGAAGTGAAAAGGGCCTCAGGAGCATCGGGTCTATGTCCCAGCTCTATGCATGTCAGCTGTGTGTGCTGGGGAAAGTTACTTAACCTCTCTGGGCTTCCAGCGCCTCCTCTGGGAAGTGGTGATGGTTGTGAGGCCTCACATTGCCCTGGGGCACTGAGTGAGACAGTGGGTGTAGTATGCCTGGTAAATAATATTGGCTTGGACCATGTGAAACTGCTGATATCCAACTGTTTTTGACTCAAAAACCAGAAATTTCATATGACTCCGTCTAACAGAGAAGCCTCTGTGTAGCCGAATGAAGAGATGACAAGAGAAATGACCACAGACACGGGGAGAACGAGGAGAATGAAGCTGGTGCATCGCAGAAATTCTCTACAGACAAATGTGCAACCTGCATGAACGTGTGATTTTCTAGAAAAACACAGGTCACTGAAACCCACACAGACCAAGGGACTCATAACTACAGGTCTCTGCAGCCCCCCCTCCTCCAAGACCGCGCTCTTGTCTCCCCCTCCCCCAGGACCACGTTCCTGCTCCTCCTCCTCCCTCCTCCGGGACCACGTTCCTGCTCCTCCTCCATCCTTCAGGACCACGCTCCTGCCTCTCCCTCCCCCAGGACCACACTCCTGCCTCCTCCCTCCCCCGGGACCACGTTCCTGCTCCTCCTCCTCCTCCCTCCTCCGGGACCACGTTCCTGCTCCTCCTCCATCCTCCAGGACCACGCTCCTGCCTCCTCCCTCCTCCCTCCTCCGGGACCACGTTCCTGCTCCTCCTCCATCCTCCAGGACCACGCTCCTGCCTCCCCCATCCTCCATCCTCCAGGACCACGCTCCTGCCTCCTCCCTCCTCCCTCCTCCAGGACCACGCTCCTGGTCCCCACATCTGCTCCTGGTCCCCGCATCCGGGCCTAGTCCCTCCCCTCCTCAGCGGTCCTCTCCCTGTCCTATCTCTCTGCCTGGGTCCTGGCTCCTCTCTATGATCTAGGTCACCCCAACACCCAACCCTGTCGGTCTGTCTGTCCTCTCCAGTGTCTGACTTCCCTTTGTGCTTGTTCTTATGGGTTCTCTCTCCTCTCTCTCTCTCTCCTTCTCTTCCTCTCTCTCTCAAATCAATTTTAAAAATATGTTTTAAAAAAAGGAGCAAACCCCAGACAGTTTCCCAAGTCACTTCTCTCAAACTGTCCAGCAGCAACCACTAGCACTGCGCTGGCGCATCCGCAGGGAGTGCAGACACAAAAAACCTCCCGTTCTTTTCGTGAGGTCAGCGTGACATGTGGGGACTAAAGTTTGGCCAAATCTCAATGCAATTCGCCCCTTAATCGTTCGAAGGAGAAAAGTGTAGTCGTCTCCACAGATAAAGGAAAAGCCCCCGCCTGCTGTTGATTTTAAATTCTCCGTAAATAGAGGCAAGCGGACGCCTGTCCAGACGCAGTGGGACGCTGGACGCCGCGCTGGTCGGGGACGGCTGGGATGACCGCGCGCCTCGGCCCCGGCATCATTCTGGCCGCACCGGCTCGTGATGAATGAGAGAAAGCGAGGGAGGGGCCGGCGTCAGGGGGAACCGCAGCTCTGGGTGCCAGCGGATCCATGGGAACACCAGGACCCGGGAGGCTCAGGAGACAGACGGTGGCGAGAGGCTGACGGTTTCCAGGTGAATTCACAAAAAGTCATCACTTCCCGACAGACAGCTGGTTAGCGGATGGAATGCAGGAAAGCCTGCCCTTTAGGAGCAAAGCGGCCACAGAGGTCGCAGCTATCTTGGGCCAGTGGTCGGCAAACTGCGGCTCGCGAGCCACATGCAGCTCTTTGGCTCTTCCACAAAATACCGACTTCTGCGCATGGGGCACGAAGTTTCAATCGCACTGTACGTGCGCGTCCGCACGTGGTATTTTGTGGAAGAGCCACACTCAAGGGGCAAAGAGCCGCATGTGGCTCACGAGCCGCAGTTTCCTGACCACTGGCCTAGGATAAGCCTCACAGGCTGCAGGCTGACTGAGGGGCACAGAAGGTAACAGGGGGCAGGGGCGGGGTTGGCGGGCCCTGCTCCCTGGAGAAGGTCTCCCCCTCCCGGCCTCCCCACCGCCTGGCCTCTCGGCCCCCCTCACCCTGCAGGCCCTCAGGCCTTGTCCTCTCAAGGGGCCCTGCCTACTCACCCCCACATCCCTGAGACCAGGCCTGCTCCTGCCCAGCCCCCCACTCCCCTTCCCTGCCCCCCCTCCCCACTTCCCTGCTTCCTCCACACTCTGGAGCCCGGGAATCAGGAGGGCGCCTCCTGGTAAAACCCAGCCCCTGGGATGCACAGGAGACCACTCTCCCACCCCACCCCCCGCTGTGCCCTGCCTCTCTACCTCCCCAAAAGTCCCCTCCGGACCCGCCCCCTCCTTGGCCCATGCCCACCCAGGCTCAGCTAAGCTTGGTGGATACCCAAGGGGTCAGACCAGGAATGCGGTCCTTCCGTCTGTCCATCTTACCCGGTGGAGCGACCGCGCCCATCCTGAGCTCAGGGAGCCCGGGCTGGGGGCGCTCAGAGCACACCTCTGCAGCCCTGCCCTCCGCCCTCCTCCCGCCCACCCTGCCCCCAGCCCCTCACCTGGGACCCAGAGCAGCAGCAGGGCTGCCAGCAGCCTGGTCGCCCGGCCCTGCGGGGTCATCTCTGCGCCACGAGGTCACGGGCAGCGGCGCCCGGCCTGCTGGACCCACGGCTTCTGTCCTCCTCACCAGGAGGGCCAGGCCCCAGCTCCCACTTCTGTTTTTCTTTGTACGGCTGCTTCCTTGTTCAGCTTCTGGTTTTGTTCCTAGAGCTGGTCAGGAAATGGAGGGCTCCAGGGAGCAGAGGCTGGGGGCTGGCTGAGACGCCCCAGAGCCGGGCCTGCCCCCACTTAATCCCAGAGCCGCCAGTTCTGTACATACTTCAGGGAGGACGCCCCACCTTCCCCCCCACCCCCACCCCCACCACCACCTCCACAGCTCCCAGGCCTGCGTCTCCCCTCTCACACCCCCAAGACCACAGGGCCAGGTTTCCTCCTAGTGGGGCCCAGTAACTCCCCCAGCCCGTTTCCTCGTCATGTGGTCAGGGTGAGACCGGGGGGAGGAGTCCTGGGCAGCACTCACAGTAACGCCACCTGGGAGCTCTCTATCTTTTAAAATATATATATTTTTTTTATTGATTTCAAAGAGGAAGGGAGAGGGAGAGAGAAACATCAATGATGAGAGAGAATCATTGATCGCCTGCCACCTGCACACCCCCCACTGGGGATCGAGCCCGCAACCCGGGCATGTGCCCTGACCCAGAATCGAACCGTGACCTCCTGGTTCATAGGTTGACGCTCAACCACTGAGCCAGGCCGGCCGGGCTGGGGAGCTCGCTTCCCATGAGCCTCCAGCTCCAGGCCCCAGGCCTGACCCCCAAGTTGGCACAGTGGCCTCAGCGTCCCTGAATGCTGTCTGGTCTTGGAAACGTGGCCTCAGCGTGACCGGCAGGTCCTCAGGCTGTGACCTCTCACCCTGCACGGCCCCCGCTGGACCCGGCTCAGGGCAGGACACAGCGGGGAATCAGCGAGCCCTTCTGGCCCCATCACCTTCCCCCGGAGTGCAAGGGAACCAGGGAGCCTCGCTGGCTCTCCTTCTGGAAGGTTCCGCGGACAGCTTGGTTTCTAGAACGATGCAGGCACAGACCCGCGAACGCTGTGAAGACCAGAGCTGGACGGGAAACGGAGAAGCGCTGTCACCTCTGGTGGCTTACTTGTCAAATACGTGTAAGTTTCCCCAAAATGTGTATTTTGCAATTCAACCCCGGAAAGGCCTGGCTACGGTTGTGAGTGTCACGGTGAAGAGGGGGACGCCCAGGACTGAGAAGCAGGAGGCTGGGTTCTCCTGTGGCTCATCCATCGCCTTCGGGGTGACCTCGAACAAAACTAAAATGTCGATGATAACAGCTCATCTGTGGGAATAAACAGTAAAACAATTATGGAAATACTCAGATGGGAGGTAAATCCTCGGGCATTTCCCGGGGAGTACATCTTTAATGAAAAGCAACAGGAAAGCAGGACTCGATGGTGAGAGGTAGGCTCTACGTGTAATCTATGGGATCCGAGCCGGAGGAGAGCAAGGGGCCGGGGGAACCAGTCCCCACCACACGCATCCTGCTCACCCAGCCTGCCCCAAACCCTAAGGAAGAGACGGGATGATGTCAGGTTACCACATGATGTCAGGAAAACAAGGAAGTGGCGCCCTTGCTGCTGCTCCCTGCTAACCACGGGCAGACCTGAGCCCAGGCCTGAGCCCCCTTTCTCAGGGGGGTTGGGGTTCTGCAACCACAAGGCCCCTCACTGGGTTGGGCCCTCTTCCCGGTGTGGACCCAAGCTTTCGGGGTCCAGTGGGGAGGTGCTGCTCGTGCTGGGTGGCGGCTCTCCGGGCAGACTTGCAGCAGCTTTGAGTTCTGCAAACGGTGGGAGCCCCGGAAAAGATTTGGGGGTGACTGAGTTGTGGGACTTCTCAACAGAACCTCCCTCTGCCCAGGTTAGAGCTGCCCGCTCTCCCGGGCAATCCGTGGCTCCCTATTCGCTCTGCCGCTTCCTCCCCCTGAGTGAGGGGCTCAAGTGGGGCCTAAAGGTGGAGAGGCTGTGCCCCAGCCGCAGCGAGGGGGGGAGAGGGGCCACGCGATGAGGCTGCTGTGAGAAGAGTTTGGCAGCTGCCTGAGCTGTTGCTGACAATGCCTCCCACCCGCCAAGTGCTTGGTCTGGCAAATGGACCGACAGCATGAGAAGCAGCAGGGCAGGGGCGGCAGGGAGGGGGACACAGTACTGGTTTCCCTGCCCCAGGAGCCTGGGTGAGACCAGCATCGCCGGCCTGGCCCTGCCCCATCGGGCCAGCCTGCCCCTCTGCTGGACTCTGGGCACTGCCCAGGCCCCACCCTCCTGCCCACCTCTGGGGAAGCTGCCCCAGCATGGCCGCATCTGTAACCCCACAGTCCACAACCAGCTGGCGCCAATGGCCTGTGACACGCTCTCCCGCCTGGTCCTGGCTGTGCTGTGGTGCACATGCAGAGGAAGGGGAAGCTGTGGGTGAGCAGAGGGGGGGGAAGCCCAGCCAGAGGCCTGGAGCCCCCACCATCCACAGAGCCAGCACTCCCTGCAGGCCCTGTCCCACCTTGGACAGGGGACCGGGGATGGAGAGCTGCTCTGACCAGGGCCCGGGAGCTCAGCAGGGCACCAATGGGCGCGGCGCAGGAGGGGAGCAGCCCACCAGGCGTGGGCCTGTTCCTGGCTCTACCTGGAGAAACAGTTTTGGGGTTCCTCAATGTCACAGTCACAGGGATTGGGGCACCCACAGCCAGAGGGATGACCCTTCCAGCCATCTCCTCAGAAGATGGCCCTGCTTCTCCCGGTCCCTCTGAGCCCCCTTCCCCTGCACCCCTGTCTACACAAGGCCCCCACAGCCCCAGGATCATGTGCCCACTGCATTTCCCGGGGACAGGGAGCCAGAATTGGGGTTCGATACAGAGAAGGCTGGGCATGGAGGCCTCCGTCTCCTCTCGCCAGACCCCACCTCCAGGGAGAAGAAAGGGATAGAACTTAAAATGGTGAGGACATGTTAAAACCCGCCCAGCTGAGCGATTCAGATTCCTGCCCTCCACCTGGGTGACAACCAGGTTCCAGCACAGGCCAGGGGTGTGCACACCTGGAACCGAAAGCAGGGGGGGCATCACCCCGCCCCAGCTCCCCGGGGAGCCAAGAGATAGTGGCGTCTAAGGGGGCTGCCTCCTGAATCACAGGTAAGACGCTGGGATCCCTCCAGGAAGCAGGACCAGGGCGGGAGGCGGGTGAGGGGAGGCCTGCGAGGACCCCTGACTGTGACAATGGAACGAGATCAAGGGGAATGGGCGGGAGGCGGTCCTGCCCTGTATCCTGGCCCTGAGCTGCATTCTAGGGCCTGTGCACCTTTGTCCAGGGAGTCTTCCCCTCTGTGAAATGGGGACATTGCTAAGCACCCTACCCACTTCGTAGGAAGCCCGACGTGAGAACAGAGACACGAATTCATTTACGTCACGTGAGTGTGGTTTGCTGAATGCCACCACGTGCGAGCATCGATTTCTACTCCTCACAGCCCAGATTCCTTACGCGCCGGTCATGTTTAACATGTCATCCCCATTGGCCCCCAGACTTCGGGCCACACTCCGTGCCTCTGGCGGGTGGCTGCCCAGGGCGGGGGAGTGGCTGGGAGAGGCCGGGGAACGCGCCCAAACTGCTGACCATGAGCAGAGGAGGAAGAGGATGTTGGGCAACTGGGGCCATGGGAACCCAAACTGACAGGCTTCCCAGGGGATCCCCATCCCCCCGCCCCTCTGCTTCCTCCTCCTTCCTCACCTGGGACAGCCTGTGGCTCTGGCTGCTGTGCTGGCCAAGGGCGGGTCGACCAGCAAGCGACCGGTTCAGAAAACTCTCATGTTTGGCTTCGGGAGCCACATTGGCCCTTGAGCTTGAAGACATGAGTTTCTGGCTTTCAGGGGATGACCCCAACTCCCACGGCCTCAGCAAGGTCAAAGCTCCCCACCCCCACCCCCACCCCTACAACCATCGTGACCTCACAGCTCACCTGTCTTCAGGGGTCTTCCCACAGACACCTCCGGAAGTCGGGGGGATGTGTGTTTCCAAGGGCTACCTCAGGCCTGGTGTGTATTCCCTGGTTCTGGCACCTGGGCAACTAGGGGGAGCCGGCACCTTAGAGAGAAGCTGCTCTTCTGGGAACACAGGAAGTCCAAGTTGGCCAGCGATGAGCAGCACCAGACCACCTGCTGGTAATTGCCTGCACTACCGCCTTTCTGGGGCAGGTAACTGTTCCCACCTGCAAGCCAGGAAGGGAAGAGGAGGCTCCTGTGGGGAGGGGGAGGGGGAGGGTGTGTGTGTGTGTGTGTGTGTCTGAGACCTCCATCCAGGGCTCAGAGCTACATCCGGGGCCCAGACCTTCATGGCGGGGCCCAGACCTCAAACCCAGTATCCAGTCCATTATTGGGTTCATGACCACACCACAGTAGTCCAGACCCCCATTCCATAAGCCAGAGGTCCAACCCCTGACCCAGACCTTCCCCCGGGGCCCAGAACTCTGTCCAGTGCCCAGACCTCTGTCCCAGGACCCGGACCTCCATCCGGGGCTCAGAGCTACATCCGGGTTCCAGAACTTCACGCTCGGGCCCAGAATCGAACCCAGTATCAAATCTTTTATCGGGGTCCAGACCACACTGCAGTAGTCCAGACCCCCATTCCATGACCCAGAGGTCCAGCCCCTGACTGGGACCACCTCCTGGGGCACAGACACCCCTCCAGTGCCCAGATCTCCTTCCCAGGCCCCTGACCACCATCCGGGGCTCGGAACTGCATCTGGGTCCCAGACCTTCATGTTGGGGCCCCAACCACAAACCCAGTATCCAGTCCTTTATCAGGGTGGATACCACACCACAGTAGTCCAGACCACCATTCCATGACCCAGACGTCCAGCCCCTGACCCAGACCTCCACCCGGGACCCAGACCCCCACCCAGTGCCTAGACCTCTGTCTCAGGACCCAGACCTCCATCAGGGGCTCAGAGCTACACCCGGGTTCCAGACCTTCATGCTTGGGTCCAGACATCGAAGCCAGTATCAAGTCTCTTATCGGGGTCCAGACCACACCGCAGTAGTCCAGACCGCCATTCCATGACCCAGAGGTCCAGGCCCTGACCTAGACCGCAACCCAGGCCCAAAACCCTTCCTGTGCCCAGACCTTTGTTCCAGGACCAGAACCTCCATTCAGGGGTAAGACCTACATCCGGGTCCCAGAACTTCATGCGCAGGCCCAGACCTTGAACCCAGTATCAAGGTCTTATATTGGGTTTGTGACCACACCACAGCAGTCCAGACTCCC